TAGAATTTGTACTGCTTTATTTCAAATGCTATGTACAGTCAAATATGGAGACTTAAATTATGACTATTTTTTAATCTCAAGTTTTTCCTTCCTGCATATTGCAATAATACTGTTAATGATTACTACCTTACTCTATTGATCTGCTTTTATAGGAAAAGAATAAAATAGTTATTGTGAAATGAATAAAAAGAAAACAAATAATCTACCTGCTGTGACAATTGGACAGAAAGGCCATCATAACCTATTAAAAATATGAAAAGTTGAGTTATTTTACTTTAGTATTACACGAACTTTGTTAATATGTTTGAGATGTGCTCCATCTTTTAGTTATATGCTGAAGCCATTATTTCTGCATTGATTAAAATATATCAATGTTTAGCGCCCCAAAGTTTAGTTGTGCAATTTAAACATTGGAGGCAAAATTTCTCCATCCAATAACTCGATGGGCTAGATTTCCCTGCCAAAATAAAAGTGAGGCTAATAGTACTCCTCATTATTTCAGTATGAAGAGGAGGATAATGTCAGGCAAGGAACTCAAATATTCAAAACCTATCCAAGTTGTACTGCTCTACTGGCAACTTGTCAAATAAAAACTGCATTACTATCTCTCTAACTGTTTTACCCAACAGTAATGCAGTAGGTATCACTTATTGCTTGTCAACCTCTGATACTGAAAATTTAACAATTACAATCAGTCTAATTTCTTTACATTTTAATAGTTGAAAATATAAAATTTCTCTTTTAACTTTACCTATCTGCATCTTTCTCTTTTCCAATTCAACTTTTTTTTAAAATTTTACTTTTACTTTCTCTGCCTGAATTGACACTGAATTCACCCTTATTTCCTTTCCAGTCATTCAGTCTGATTTATTAAGGAGATACTATCACTTGCCCTGATGAGTTGGTCCCAGATGTCCAATTTTCTTAGCTGGCACATTATTAGATTGCACTTTCAACAACTTTGTCTTGCAAAAAGAATTAAATATTCGAGTGCAAGTCCATCTATGCTGATAGTATTAGCTATGCTGCTACACCCAAAGCTGATAAGTTAATAATGTGTTTATACGTTTATGTGCTCGTTGCAGAACAGTAATTTCATAGACTATAGAAAAACTTTAGTAAAGTTAAAAGGCTAAGTTATATTCTGTACTGAGAAGACAAAATTATTAAGAATTTAAGTCATCATGAACCATTAAGGTATTGCTGCTTGTAGTATCGGCATGGATTATTCTAACAGGAGTTGTTCATTCCGGGGTCCAATGTATTTTATTCATTCAGGGTAATAGCTAAGATTGGCAACATTTGATCTCATTATGCCTGTACTTTTTATAGAATCCCTACAGTGTGGAAGTCCATTAGGCCCATCAAGTCCTCACTGACCCTCTGAAGAGCATCCCACCCAAATGCTCCTCCACCACCCACTCTATGCCTGTAACTCTACACTTCCCATAGCTAATTCACGTAGCTTGCACATCTCTGAACACTACGGGCAATTTAGTATGGCCAGTCCACCTAACCTGCTCATCTTTGGACTGTGGGAGAAAACTGGACCACCCAGAGGAAACTCATGCAGACACGGGGATAATGTGGAAACACCACACAGTCTGCCAAGTGTGGAAGCAGTCCCAGGTCCCTGGTACTGTGAGGCTATTGAGCCATCGTACCACTTTAATTTAGTAATACTAAGATGGGTGTTGGAGAAAAACAGCATTAATGCCTTGAACTGTGGGACACACAGAATACTGAGGTCTGGATTTTACAGGCCATTGTGGGCTGTAAAATAAATTGGCAGACCTGTAAAATAGGACACAGTACCACCAGCTATGTACTACAGCCTGCCCATCCAAACCATAGTTATACGGGTGACAGGACATGTCAGGAGAGTTGCCTGTGGGCCAATTAGGGAATGTAGGTCTATCATTGACAGCCATAGGTGAGGTGTTGGAAGACTGAAGGTTGGCTAATGTGGTGCAATTATTTAAGAAAGGCTGTAAGGAAAAACCAGGGAACTATAGACCGGTGAGCCTTACATCAGTGATGGGTAGATTGTTGGAGAGCATTCTGAAGAACAGTATTTACATGCATTTGGAAAGACAAGGACTGATTAGGGATAGTCAACTTGGCTTTGCACATGGGAAATCATGTCTCACAAACTTGATCGAGTTTTTCGAAGAGGTGAGGGATGACTGATGAAGGCAGAATGGTAGACATTGTCTGTATGGACTTTAGACTGGTTAGTAAGGTTAGATCACATAACATCCATGAACAGCTAGCCAACTGGATACAAAATTGACTTGAAGGTAGGAGACAGAGCGTGGTGGTAGTTGTTCAGACTGAAGACCTGTGACCAGTGGTGTGCCACGAGGATCAGTGCTGGGTCCACTACCTTTCATCACTTACATAAATGATTTGAATATGAATATAGGAGGTATGGTTAGTAAGTTTTCAGATGACACCAAAATAGGTGGTATAGTGAACAGTGAAGAAGATTATCTCAGAGTGCAATAGGACCTTGATCAGATAGGCCTATAGGATGAGGAGTGGCAGGCAGTGTCTAATTTAGATAAATATAAGGTGTTGCAAGCCAGGGCAGGACTTATACAATTAATGGTATGACCCTGGGGAGTGTTCCAAACAAAGAGATCATGGGGTGCAGGGGTATGGTTTCTTGGCAGTGGAGTTGCAAGTACATAGGGTGGTGAAGGCAGCATTTGGCACACTTGCCTTCATTGGTATAAGAATTGGGTCATCATGTTGCAGCTGTACAGGACATTGATGAGGCCACTTTTAGAATATGGTGTAAAATTCTGCTCACCCTTCTTTAGGAAGAATATTGTTAAACTGAGAGGGTGCAGAAAAGACTTACAGGGATGTTGCCGGACTGAAGGTTTTGAGTTATAGGGAGAGGTTAAATAGGCTGGGGCTTCTTTCCCTGTAGCGTTGGAGGCTAAGGGATGACCTTGTAGAAGTTTATAAAATCATGAGAGGCATGGATAAGGTGAATAGCCAAGGTCTTTTTTTCGGGTTGGGGAGTCCAAAAATAGAGGGCATAAGTTTAAGGTGAGAGGGGAAAGATTTAAAAGGGACCTGATAGATTACTTTTTCACGCAGACAATGGTGCGTGTATGGAACAATCTGCCAGTGGAAGTGGAAGTGGTGGAGGCGGGTACAATTACAACATTTAAAAGGCACCTGGATGAATATATGAATAGGAAGGGTTTAGAGGGATATGGACTAAATGCTGGAAAATGGAACTAGGTCAGATTGGGATGTCTGCTTGGTGCAGAAGTGTTGGATCGAAGGGTCTGTTTCCATGCTGTATGACTCCATGATTCTAAATAATGACTATTTAAGGGCCTTATCTCACCACTGTACTGATTTAACATGTCAGAAGAGATCTGACCCTGCAGGCTGGTGTTTAGTTAACAGGTGCTGGGGGAAGTGGGGTGTTTTATGTCTACCCTCCCCATGTCTACAGCCTGGCCTGCCCAACAAGCTCCCCACATCAACTATACCCTTTGCCAGAGTATGCAAACCTGGCCAAGGTACATTTTTTGACTTACCTGGAGCTTAATGTCTCTGCAATATCCTTGGTACAGTAATAGCAGTGCCCACAACTCTCAGTGGCACTGTAAATCTGCCATCTTCTATTTGGTCGTTAGCTCAGTTGCAGGACTTTCCTGAAAAATGGCTACGGTCTGATCTTGTAATGATTAAAGCCTCGTTGGTCAAAAGATGGAAGTGGGGCAAGCTGGCAAAGCAGATGTGGAGTAATCTTCAACATTTATGCTGGGATGTGAGAAGCCCATCCCACGCCCAGCTCCCATATTGTTGACAGTATTAGCTTGAGCGTTACATGAGTGCCCAGGAAATTTGCACATTAGGCAGATTATAATATCACTGTGTAACACTGATTTGATACATGATTGCCATTTCTGATTCTGATATTCTAGCTAACATCCTATCAATCATGAGCAACTGAACATGGGTTTGGCAGTGTTGGGAACCCTTCCGAACTCTTGTTTGATCTTTCACTCATCCCCAGCCAGAATGCACCTTGTCTTTAAGTCATGCAAGCCATGCAATGAATTGGCACCAGCATGGCCCCCATCTGGCTGAGACATACAACCATTCAGCAGCACATTGAGTATTAGGTTGTGTACCATAATCATCATAATTATCAGTCTGTATAAAGTTTACATATTGCCTTCATTGCTTTGAATGGATTTGGAGTAATCTCGAAACTTGACCCCGCACTTGATTTTGGAGCTATCCAATCCCTCAAAGCTTTTATCGGTCAGGGTTTACGTATTTCAATATTATTTTAGTGAAGGTTTTAATATTCATTTAATAATCTGCCAGAACAACGGAAAAAGAGTAATATTCCCATTTATTCCCCACTGGGAATGCTCCATTGTACACTTTGTTTATCTAACTTCCCCTGGAATCCTCTCTGAAGTAAGGTATTCAACTATTAGTGAATCCAACTCATGTCTTTGCTTCAGGGAGTCAATGGATTCTAATTAGTTGATTTTAATTTTTAATTAGCTGTTAGATGCTGGGAATTCTCCCTCACATAAGTACTTATCAAATGTCCATATTATTTAATTACACAAATGTGAAGTATCCAATATATTATTCCTTTTGAGAGAGAAAAATCCAATCTACCCAATTGCCATGGTAAAAATCTCAAAATCCTAAATATTCAAATGTAAGTCCAACTAACGGCTATCAGAAAAATCTAGCCCAACGGAGAGTTACACAAGAGGTGAACATAATGGGAAAGATTATGCAGCAATGGGAGAACTGTTATGATGAGGTACTAGGTTGTTTCAGGTTTTCTGAGCAGACAAAACTTTTATCCTGTACTTAAGACTGATTGTTTGTGGGTTCAGTGTCAGTGCATTATGTTTTATTTTCTGTAGCACCAGATTGTAATTGTCACTTTATAATATATTAACATTTTTATATTCATCAGTACTCAGTGTTGAACTGACAATTCACATAACTGTTTGGTAGGTACTCTGGTATTCATCACGATCACTGAGCAAAGGCTGCCTCTCCTCAAAGGTGGAATCTTGTTTCTTCTTCTTACATGCCTGCGTAATAGTACAATTAAATAGGGTTGTCACCAAGCAGCCAACCACTGCAGCACTCAGCAGCCAAGGCCAGATCTGCTGAGCTTCATGAAAATAAGGACTCAGAATTTCCTGAATTGTAGGTGGTACTGAAAAATACAAGGGAGAATAAAGAAATGTGTTTTAAAAAAGGTCACTTGAAGACAAACTTTCACAGAACACTGAGAAATAGTATAGCACAAAACGAGGCCATTTGGTCAACTATGTCTGCATCTGCTCTTTGAATGAGCATTACAGCTAGTCCCATTCTCCTACCTTATCCTTGTAACTCTGCATATTCTTCCATTATAGATTATCAAATTCCTATTGAACCTGCTTCCACTACATTTTCAGGCAGTGCATTCCAAATTTTAACCATTTGCTGCATAGGTAATTGTTTTTACTCATAGGTAATTGGTCCTTTTGCCAATTACCTTAAATCTATGGTAGTAGGAACTGCAGATGCTGGAGAATCCGAGATAACAAGGTGCAGAGCTGGATGAACACAGCAGGCCAAGCAACATCATAGGAGCAGAAAGGCTGATGTTTCGGGCCTAGACCCTTCATCAGACCCTTTTCTGAT